AAAAACACTTGCTACTGTCGTGTCGCCGAATACACATGTTTCCGCTTCGTTCGTTCGTTCTGTTATTCTCCTCACCGGAGCGTCATCGTCGTATATGCGTTTACAGTTCGGTTGTTGAGCTTCGCTTAATATTCGCTTACCATCCACAGTCCTTGTCGGTACCACGAACCTGCCGTCCGGAAGATATTACAAATTGGCGTCGAGGGCAGTTACCGCAGGATGCACAGAAATTACTCGGCACAGAATTTTTCCGCGTCAGCCGCCAGTTTATCACCCGGATAACAATTTCGAAGATTGGTATTGGGGAATGACGAACTATTATTCCGGAGTTCCAGAGCACTTGCTTGGCCCTTGTTTTATCAGCTACCTGGGTCTGGAGGCGGTACAATTGTTCCGTAAAATGCAAGTTCCAGTGGATGCGCCATTTGAACGTATTATAACCGCACTTGGCAGGTTGTTCCTACGGAGAAACCACGCCAGTTTCCTGTCCCGCGCGAAAGCTGCGGCCGCGGTCGGTGAGTGGAATTCTGTTACCTCACAAGCGGAGTCGCATACGAATCTTATGATTGGTACCGAACACATTGCTTTTTCGGAAGTGGATGTCGCTTTGCCAATGCCGGATGACCTTGCTCCTATCTATGGATCGCAGGACACCATCGCGGTACTACCGCATTTCGTCTCTAAGATGGAAGATTTGATTGTTTGGGAAACTGCTTCATCGTCATCCCAAGTTCCCAGGGAGGAAGCGATTTGTACTGCAGTTACCTATTGTACCGAACTGTCAACTCCGGTAATATCTTTTGCCACAGCTTGCGTCGTGCAGACACAGATAACTTCGCACTACGAAGAAGCAGTTATTTTTTCTGAACCCGCTTACTTATCTCCGTGGTATCCTGACATCGACAACGCTTGTGCCTACACGGTGGAGTCGACACCGAAGCCATTTTCCCCTTCAATACCGTCCATTGGAGTAGATATTTCCCGCCGACTACTGCATAGTGATTCGATAACTTTTCTCCAATCTCTGCCTCATTGCTTAGCATTATTTGCCACGCATCTTACAGACTTTGTCACGATGCATTTGCTACTATGAGTTGTGTCTCCGTTTATACTGCACTTTTTAACTTTGTTTTTCGAAGCGGCTGGTCCGTTAGTTGCATTTTTGCACCGGATATTACATAGCGTGCTCCCCCTACCCATTCTGCACGGTCCTGGTCCACCATACAGACTTCTGATCACATGTACTGTGGAAGCACATATGTGGACAGCGACCGCATCTGTTCTTGGGGCACTGAGGACAGTGCCTATCGGAGAAGGAGGCAGTGTAACGCAAATGAAAGCACACTGGTTCGTTTAAACCAAACGTTATTCTTAGTGCCTGTTTTATACCCTTCTTATCTTGATGCGTATCTTATTCATGTCGAAACAAACGGTAAAACCATCGCCGCGTCGCCTTTGCCAAAGTTACTTGTTTTATCTACGCTTGTACCGAAAAACACTTGCTACTGTCGTGTCGCCGAATACACGTGTTTCCGCTTCGTTCGTCCGTTCTGTTATTCGCCTCACCGGAGCATCGTCGTCGTATATGCGTTTACAGTTCGGTTGTTGAGCTTCGCTTAATATTCGCTTACCATCCACAGTCCTTGTCGGTACCACGAACCTGCCGTCCGGAAGATATTACACCCATCCCGGTTTGGTTCGGTAGGGGGACCGTCCTATCCGCCACTGGCGCGATTTTGAATGCGAGCTGTTGTTCATGAGGACAATTTGTTTCTGCGTTCTGAAAAAGTAAGGGTTTTAATGGATGAATTTCTTGCGCAACGTGTTTCCAAGGCGGTCAGAATCTTCAAAATTGCGAAATGTGATCTATACCATGCTTAATTACAAAGTTGAATAAAAGTGTAAAATGTGAAATATAACCGTAAGTAAGGCGTTAAAAAGGAAACGGACTATAAAACATAGTTTATGTAAGTCCGCGGTATGTATTTGAAAAAAGAAGGCAGTCGGCGAATGTATGGTAAATTGTGCAAGACATAGGGGAATCGGCGTTGACTAGCTGGCTTATGGAAGTGGGGATTGATTTCTAGTGTAGCTTGCATTTGGCTTTGTTAACCGTATAATGGATATGATAAAAAGAATCCTTGCTAATGGATAGATAATGCCGTGTGTATGTGTAAGTATGGGATATGCGGTGCAAAGCTCCCTCTCTGTATATATACGGATATATATATATATATATATACATATATATATACATATATATATAAAGGTATATATGCACGCGTATAATATATATATATATAAATACCGATATACAATTATACATATATATATATGTGTGTTTGTAAGGAAACATAATGTCAAGGTTAGGCGACATGACCAAACAGAAATCTCCTCCATAACCATTATCACATGTGGTATGCAGAAATCATGCGAGTACATAGGCATCTAGGGAACCGGTAAGTTACATGCGCATTTCCGACTCATGATCTAGCCTAAATGCCATACAAACCTGATTAAGTTATAGACGCTGACATGTATAGGCGAACAATATATATGTGTGTATGTGTATAAATATATCTATGTATATCTATGTATATATGTAAATATATGGTTGGCGGCATCCGGTTTCGGATTTGCCTGTCACTGTGGCAAGCCACAGGACGCCTGCGCCTACAGACGGGACCATGGATGGCTTGCGCTGCACCACCCACAGCTCCATCCACATACCCCATATCCAGTGTAAACCCGAATGAATAAGACCGGGAGGCATGCGGATGGGAGCCACGTTTCATCAACGGAGCCGGCCCACACTCCTTCACAGGCAAACACAAGCACACTGTATTTGGGAATCAAGCGCACACAAGGCGGTGGCTGGACCGTAGTCCGCTCCACACTGAGTGCATGGAACCACTCTTCGAGCCTAACACGGCCACAAGGACCGTGCACCCCGTCCCCTCCAGCAACGACCAACTGTCTCCTGGAGCCAGTATGGACGAGGTAGTGGGTAATAGACAGGTAGGCACCTTGTCAACATGCACATCAAGCGCAGCCACACCGGGGATATTAAACAACAGCCAACCACTTGAGAGACAAGGCGAGAGAGAAAAGAGAAGAGAAAAACTCGATTACTGCATAAGGAAACGGTGACATAAACCTTAATTAAATAGCATATGTAATAGGTTGTTTACAAACAAATCCTAGCTAAGTGCACGAGGTCAGGAAGTATAGTTCACGGTATGCCACGAACACAAAAATGTTATGGAAATCGAATACAATTGGCTTAGGCGAGGTGTACAAGTTAATGGAATAGAGTACAGGGAGATATTTATATGAGAAAGAAAAGCATTAAGGTAAAAACTGTAAACCCACCACCTGAAATAAAGAGACTTAGCATGCAAGCACGCGGTTAGTAAATCGAATTCAGCGTGCCTACAAACGCTGCGCCGGCTCGTCGTAATTCTCTGCAGGACCCATCGTCGCTTCTGTAGTGGCCCCAAAGGGCCTAGTTCATGGCCCACTAGACATTTATATGAGAAAGAAAGGCATTAGGAGAGAACCGAAAACCCACCACCTGAAATAAAGAGACTTAGCATGCAACCATGCGGTTAGGAAATCGAATTCAGCGTGCCTACAAACGCTGCGCCTGCGCTGCCTATGTTCACTGCGGGACTCGTCGTCGCTTCGGCAGTGGTCCCGAGTGACCTCTCTCATGGCTCACTAG